TCTAGAAAAATGTACATTAAAAGATCAAAAAAATTTTTTTGAATTGAAATTAAGAAGTATCAGGGGAAAATATTAATTCCTGGCATGTCATAGAAGCACAATAAAAATTAATTGCATTGCCCTAACTGGTTTGGTTCAGTGGATAGTGCATCAGCCTGCAGACTCAGGGGTCCAAGGTTCGATTCCGGTCAAGGGCATGTACCTTGGTTGCGGGCACATCCCAAGCGGGGAGTGTGCAGGAGGCAGCTGATCGATGTTTCTCTCTCATCGTTGTTTCTGACTATCCCTCTCCCTTCCTCTCTGTAAAACATCAATAAAATATATTTTTAAAAATATTAATTGCATGTTGTTATTGAATATTTCAATTCATAGCATATTGGTTTCAAGAAGTAGCAATCTACTTTTTACATTGAAGAAATATGACACATGAGGAAATCACTAACTCAAACTCCCTCCCCCACAACAAAAAACATGTTGGGTTTACCTCTAGAATGTTCTAGGAGAAATAAAAAAAAGCAACAATAATTGGAACTGTCCTGGTCACATATATACATCACCTTGAGGTAAGACTTGCTAACCAATTTTAAAGAGTAGGGACATGTAGACTAAAAGGAAGGAATGTAATATTGATTAATTAGGTTCAAGTGTTAGACTATGTACTAAAAAATTGTGTAGTTTCCTGGGATACTTTTCAGGGCCATTGGCAGTTAAGAGCTTTGATTCTCTCCAGGTTCCAAATGACAGTACTGTACGTAGAAAGACACGGTAAAAACACGCCTTAATTAGTGTAGGGGCCAAGCAATCATGGAACTCTCAACACTTTTGCTTCTAAAAACCCCTGAGCATCACCTTTGCGAAGAAAATGTCCCTCATCTGTTTTTTTCCCAACTTCATATTTTAGAATCTCATCATAATTGGCTTTGGGATCAGACTTCATGTTCTGAAATGTAGCCTGTTTTACAATAGCTTCCACATCCTCTTCACTCAGTTCTTTCTCAAGAAAACGGCTGATTTTAAGCACAGAACTTCTGAGATCCTGAAAGAATTGTGGGTATGAGAAACTATTCAGCTTACAAAGAATGCACGAGTTACATCCCAACACCTTTATCACATTTTGGAAAACTGAAAGTGAATGGACTTATTGTAAGTCTAAAATTTGACAAAGATATATTACTTTCCTATTCCTTCTATGAAAATGAGTGCTCTGGTTGTCAGCTTTGTTAGAGCTTTCTACTGTTTGATTTTATAAGGACAACTTCCCTTCATTTACCCATTCATTCATTCATTCAACTG